GGCATGAGCAGTACGCCAGTACAGTCAGCCCTGACAAGTGTAGTTTCCTGCAGTCGCGCAGAGTTCCTCGTACACCAACCGGATTCCAAACATCTGGCCTACACAGAAAAGAGCACAGGCAATGCGGGAATTTCTTCGACCAACGACTTCGACGCTTAAACGACATGGTCAACTACTATCGCCGATGATTGCGACGGTGCTTCGAGCTAATGCAAGCGCCCACGGATCTCCTGCGTGGACCCAAGAACGGCAACATTGAGCTTAAACCTGAAGCGGATAACCCTTCGAAACCAACGAAGGAGCCTTAGCTTTCAACGTCATGTTATATTACTTCGATGTAAAGTCCCGGTCAGAAACGCAGCCGGCGTTGTCCCACAGCGGTTTTCAAACGCTATCTGGTAACCTCTGGCTATTTTTCTCGACGTCCTCATGCAGCTGAGTCGAACATAGTCGTCATCAACACACGTTAGCCTAGAGCAGAGGGAAAGAAGCGTTGCAACAGTGGCGGCAGGAGTTAGAAGAACCCAATGATGTCAGTCATTTTTGAACAATTGCAGACCCTTTTGCAGCAGCAGCGGTCGCAGTTAGAAAAGTCACAGAAGCATTTAATGGAACTGCTATCACAAAAATTAAACATTCAAGTATAATGGGAACCGTAATTGGAGCTGACATCGCAAGAAATTGTCTCAGAATGTCAGAGGTTGCTTAACTTGAATCCTGGTACAAGTGTGGTTGCAAATTCGGAAGCTAGGGAGGGGCAGCACTTCTGCCACTCTGCCTTTTCAAAATCAGATGTGCCCATCAGACCTGAGGATACGACGGTTTTGAAGTCAATGGCTATCAGAGTACGCAGATGAATAGACGCCACGAAGCAATACTCCAAACTGGTCCGGAATGTTGCAGAATCACCAGTGCTTCCCTGAACCTCGTCAGTCACTAAACCAGTATCTAGAGCAAAGCACCCTGTGCCAAGAAGGAAAGAAAAAGCATTGCAACTATCATGAGGAGGAGGAACGTGTGCAGACAGCGTGCGTCATTTCAAAATTGGGAACATAGTGTACGCACGAGACTTCCGAGGACTGAGGAGGTGATCGACAGGAAGAGTCATCCTCAGAAACGGTTGGGTCCTCTACGAGCTAATGGTATTAACTGAGAAATGGGTCGGGCACGCCAACCAGCTGAGGCTGAATCACAGCAAGACTCAAAGCCCCTCAGAACCGCCATCCCTACCATGGGACATCCTGCTAGACGTTTTGTTTGGAAGACGAAGCTGAGCAGTTACGTGGATTACAACATAAGATGTAAGTAGCAGATGACGCATAATGCAGGCCGATCTGAAAGCGCAGACGACCACCTTGGCTACAGCTTGATCCACAAAGCCGAACACAGCCGGTCGCTTGGACGCCACATACCTGTCATGCAGACCAAGTCGAAGACAAAGACAGCCGCGATGTCCACAAGTGACCCCCGGAGTAAGAAGCTACGATCAAGCCCATGTGCGGAAAATAGGTAGGAACAATCAATTTGTAGCGGAGGTAATAGAGACATAAGCGGAGCTGAATTTAGGAAGCGTCTGCGTCAGAGTGGGCGATCGGTTAGGCTAGTAAGTCTTTAAAAGCACGGCTAGTTGTACTTTACCTCATACTTGTGAATATGACGTTTGTGTGCAGAAGGGTGTGCGTTCTTCCCTTGATGCGACTGGGCGTGACAGAAAGCATAGGTAAAGTAGAAGCGTTACAACACTGACCAATCTGGTATGAGTGGCTGTAAAGGTGCCAAAAAGCACCACCAAGCATAGCTTAATGGATCGTCGAGGCACACAAACCATCACAGCACGTTAAAGTCCAGTCTGATCGCGATGGTGCTGTCAGACTGTGTTCCCTGAAAAGAGCAGCTGCAATTATTCACCAGCCAGCCATGATTTTCAGACTAGTTGACTCCAAGTCCATCGCTTTGGGCTCAAAAAACGACGAACTGCGAGTAAAATAACCCCAGTCAAAAAATGTTTTTGTCCTGCCGATTAAGATGACGTTACCAGCATGAGTATAATAACAGGGTCATCAATTTGTAATGACAAAGCGAAGTTTCGGTGTAAAACCAAGACCAGATGTGTGCTGGGTCAAGAATTCTTCATGAACCAAAACGTTTACATCACGGTTATGTGCTGTTAGCCTCAAATCAGCCTTGGAAGTCGAGTTATCTTAACAGTTAAGTTGTGCCTTATCAAAAACACTACTTCTTCTACCCGTTCTAAATCTAAGGTCCTATTTTTTCGTACTGCACCTTACCGCAATTCTGTTCTGCCATACCTGTCCCGCTTGTTTTTTGACCCAACCCTAACTATCAGTATTATGCGAAATTATTTGCTCGAGTGATATGATTACACATTTTTAGACGTTTTAGCTTTAACCGTAATTTCATATACTACACCATTCACAGTGATAGTGTAACATGTTAAAAATACGCCTACCTGGATGCGTAAAACCTACTTTAACTTGGTTTGAGCTTAGGGCTAGGCTATGAATGGTGGACAATGTGAAAAGAGAAAAGCGGTACATCGAAACTCGACATTACAAAATAGTTAGTTCAGGTGACAAGCCTGCGGCACGCTTATTGAAAGCTTTCAATGACACGTATGGGAATCTTCACTACTTTTATGGGCGTGACTTCGGGAGTCAACTACCTTTTCTGGATGTGGACGTTATCCGCAACTCTTACATCTTACAACAGTAGGATGCACAAAGCATGCATGGACTGGGTTATGCACCAAATTCTACATCATCATCAATGCACGTTAGCTAAAGGTGGGAAACACATCTCAGCTGAAGTGCCAGAATAAAAAATGCTGTGATACCAAGCATTTCAGACTACAGATAAGACAATTAATATAATTTTATATATCACATGCATCAGATAGGAGATCGTGATTAGAGAAGGAGTCCAAAGGGGAGAGGGAAGGACGACGAAATTCAAACACAAATGCTACTGAGGTTGGCTCTTCGCCATGTCAACAAATGTAGCCAAGTAAACGTGTTCATCTTCTTTGGGATTCCAGCGCTGCAGTCATGAGACACCAAAGGAAGTCGTAGCACGGGGGGCCAGCCATGTCCTCTTCACCTTGATAACATGTCTAATAGTGGATGACGGGCTGCGCCATATGGAAGCTAGATATTAATCATTGTGGTCTACCGCGGTCACTAATAGCTCAATGGCGAAAGCTGCTGGCTCATACTTATATGTTCATGAGTACGAATCCGGCAGGGTTCGGCTATCTTATGCTACTGACGAATCTCAGTAGGACCAAGCGACTGTCTAGCGCTTTTCTGGATGTGTGGCGGCTGTCTACTTGAGTCTAATTGCGACAAAACTTAACAATAAACTCAATAAATTCTCCTACTAATCTATATATATATATATGATTACATTAGACACGAAAGCCCATTTGTATTTGCAGATGACATGAAACTAGTGTACTCATTTCGACCTGACCATCTGGAACTGTGCTTAAGAAATATACGCGAGGACTTATCATCCTTAAACAAATGGAGCCAAAGTAGGTCAATGAGGTTTTCTGCAGATAAATCTCAGATACTGCCCCAAATGCAGTGTATCAGAAGTGTCCATCACTGTCACTGGTAACCCCATCCCAACTGCCTATTCCGTTCCAGAATTAGGATTTCGATGTTCGAACAGTTTCAACTTCTCCGAACACATTATTCATCAAGTGGCGAAAGCGAAGCAACTGACGTGCTACATCACTAAGTTATTTTCCCTATCCCAAACACGCCTTTAATCATTCAAACTCATTGTGCGTCCCACTCTAGAGTATTACACCATCATACATAACCATTTACGTAAAACTGACAGAATTGCTTTGGAAAACCTCCAGCGCTCATGGGGCGCTCATATTCGCTTACTTATGTGGACCGATGTTCTAAGCTCGATCCACTCTGGCTTCGATGGCTGAACATCACACTTTTCTCTACAGCATAATATACTTGTAAGTGTGCTCAACCAGTACGACCGTCGCATTACATAATGATTCAACCTATCCCACTCGTAATGGGAAATGTCTACTATCCTTACAGGGAACCGAAAAAATATCCACTTAAATTTCTTGGTGAAGTACGCCCATCTGTGGAATAAACTCCTGTTGCAAATAAGGACCTGCGAGAGCCTGTACATTTTTAAACTAATTTAAAAACGTTCCTTTCTATGTCAAATGTGCTCAAACTTTTCGACCTTCAGCAGTCCACGAGCGCGCTCATGGAATCGGGCTCGAACAACATATGACAATATGAACTGCCAAATAATTTTACCTATTATATACGCAACAAAATATTGCATAACTCTTCCACATTGAATGGAGTTTATACATGAGTTAATAACGAAACTCACTGTACGAATGATTGTTCCACGAAGGGGAACGTATCCTGCTCGTCGGGAAATATACCCATTTATTTATTTATTTATCTAATAGCTCGGTCGTCATCGTTCTCAAAATGTGCAACATTGCTTGCTGCTAATAATTGATATACCTTCACGTTTTTCTTCTTGTGCAAGGAACGAATGACCAGTTTTACCACCACTCAACTCAACCGTTCTTTCGTTGGCTACTTTCATCAAGTATCAGCGAGGATTTGCATTGTCCTATCACTATCTGCTATTTTCTGGTGTGTGTGTGTGTGTGGTCCAGTTATCTTAAGTGAACTCTTCCATCTTAAACTGACATCCGCTCATGTATATGTGTATGAGCCGCTCATTCACTTCACCGTTGAAGAATGCACTTGCCGACTGCATCGTTCAGTTCATGTACGTTATCTTCTCTCTGTTCCAGCCCCCTTTATGTAAGAATGTTTTATTTATTTATTTTGCCCATGCTGTCCTTGTTTCAGATAACCCCAATCGGTATCATGCATTTGTCGGCCTACCCTTGTATTCGTCCACTGGCACGGTGACAACACGGAGGCTTTCACTCTCCTTATTTATTGCGACCACTATACAATGCATTTCGCGGCCATCCTTCTACAGGAAATAACTGCCGAAGGCCTTAGGGGAATGACCCTGAAGAACCTTTGGTTGCATTTGGCCTCAGAATCTTCCGGTTTTCCTTTGCTTATTGATGATCATACGAAGCAGTTTATTTGGCGGATACTTATATCTATGAAGTCTCTATCATTCCACGCAAATCCTACAGTACACGAATATTTGATGCCTTACGACAGACGAACCTGGTTGGTGACTACCGACAGCGGCATGTTTTACGACATTCCGGTAGCTCTGTTTCCGTTTCCCACTCATTCACCTTTTTGCAGCCCGACTTTCCTCCGCTCAAATTTCATCCAACGTCAGACCCGATGGAGCCGGGCTCCAGCATGTTTTACTCCACACGTGTGGATGTTACGGAACAAATTCGTTCAAACAACCATCTTCACCTTTTGGAGAATGTTGTTTCTCAGTTAGTCGTATAATCAACATAGGCTTTACTTTTTCATTCTTAGATGGGGTGATTGTCTTGTGATGGTGGCGTCTCGACAGGAACGGCATAATTTTCTCCTCGGGAACATCTGCAATGCAAGCGAACTTTCCGCCACTTGTTATATGATGCTTGAAGAGATCGTACGGTGTGTTTTTGATGCCTTCATTTGAAAGCTGTGTTATTCCGTTCGTAGGCATCTATCGTTGTAAATAATTTTCATATGCGTCTACTGAATCCCGCTCTCCATGCAGGATAGTGAAGTGGACAGCTGCATCTGGCTTGCATGCGACAGAGCCAGTGTGGGCATCAGGAGTACTTCGGCACACCGTATCGACGCTTTTCTGCCACGCGCAGGTGCTGCGTCTTACTCGATGTCTATCGTACCTACACGAATTCGGACCGGCGACCGTAGCCATGGTTTTATCCCTAATTGAACATCCTTCGTCTTGATCATTTAGTACAATGTGTCGGTTGTCAACTGCATATTTTTGCTGCAACCTTTGCTCATTCATCCTGTAGTTATAGTCCTAAAGGGATGTAAGTTTTTTGTGCTAACTGTACATCACTCGGCTTCTTTCGACCGTTCGTCTTTTGTCAGCCGATCTTACTCATCTGTCCTTTCATCAACCTTATCGAACTGCTTATAGGTGCAGATCCAACCCGTTCTATTTTATTTGCCACGACATCTAATATGAACTGTTGTCTGAGCTCATGCACATGGTATGACACGACCGTCATCCGCACACATACGATGCTGCCAGCAACCCGTCCCCCACCACTCATTCTGTATGCTATCGGACAATCTGCGTTCAGTATAGGCCACTAACCAATCCCCAACCCAGTGAACTAGTTGACCGTTTAACTCAACATTACCAACTCAGGTTAGAAAGTCGGTCGGTGACCGAGTGGTCTGTGCGCCTGGTTTGCCACCATAAGGTCACCGGTTCTAATCCGCGCAGGGGTGTGCTTCCTCGCGGTATACTCAGCCCACATACGTGGTCGCGTCGCAGCAAAGCGCTGTTACGGCGAACAGCTGCAGATTTATTTTTTTAGTTGTAATATCTGGTTTGAAGGATATCACTGTGACTGTGACCGTACTTTTCTCTGGTGCCTCAGTCGCGAGCAGCCTGTGAACTGCTCCATCATTCCGCTGCCCCGTTGCTTAAAGGTAACGAGCTTGTCTTGTAACCTGACGGCGCGGGTTCGAGCCTGCGTAGTGGCAGGGCGACCCTCGCAGTATGCTTCGCCCACATGCGACCGGTGGTGGTTGTACGACAGCGAAGCGTCGGTACTACGTACCGGCGTACTGCTAATGCCTTTCTTTTCTTTTTTCCCTTATTCCGTTTTTCTGGATGTGGCGAGAAAGCGCACACGGTATTTTATGGAAGCGTTTGAGCAAGTTGTGTTGGATAGGCTTAGTTTCGATAGCTACCTAGTGATTTTCGCTCTGTTCACCAGTTCCTCTCCTGCTCCGGCCCGGGGCCAGAAGGATCACACGCTTGTCTTGTAATCTGAAAGTCGCCTGTTCGCAGTATCCTTAGCCCACGCACGACTGGTGGTATTTGCACGGCAACCAAGCGTCGGTACTGAGTACCGGTGTACAGCTAGTGTCTCAGCGACTACAAATATGCGTGATCCTTCGTTTCTTTCACTATTTTCAATGTGGATGTACTTTTTCACGGCAAACTAGGCCTTGTACACCCGAATGAGTGCATTTTTGTCGCTTACGCTATCATCGTGTATGTACTGATGGATAGCGTCAACGAAAATGTGAAGATGGAAGATGCGAAACGTTCGCAATTTCTTCTTCAGTAAACCGCCGCGTATTACAATGACTCTTGGACGTGAAAGATGCAGGAACACAGCTTTAGGGGTTAGAAGGGAATACGAGGAAACGAAGATATTAACTTTGAGCGCATAGAAAAAGTGTTTTTTCCTAGATCGATGTGTTGGTAGTACTGTCAGTATAATCAGCGATATAAATTAAACTAGTCTTTGTACCTGGAAAATTGCTCTATGTATTGCGCAATCAAGCTATAGCCTACTTAAGGGTGACCATGGAAGGTGGTAGAGGAGTGTAAACATCGCTAGAGAGTATGCGCATTCATAAACTTTAAATGCCAACTTACTAATTGCTGAAAACATCGGATCAAAATAGGATAATCTTCTTGATCTGTTGAAACATCTCACACGTTTGTTGACCAAGCTCTTTTTGGGACAGACTGACACAGCATTTTAGCCTAGATGAATAATCTCCTTTTTATTCGCATTGACTCAGAGAAATACAAAAGAAATGATATTTTATCATTGCATTTTGAGGTGTTAATGACATGGATCCAAATGACGGCTGTGTACCTGGCTCGCTTAAATCGCGTTGAAGCATTGAAGACACCTCAACGATGGAAGCTATACACACCAGGCAAATGTCGTCGGAGTATCTGTGTTTAAGCAACGCAGACTGTAATGAAATTTGCTTATAATTAAAATTGCAATGTGAATGTATCACTCCTCGCAAGACACCATAGTCATCACGAACCATAGGGGATTTCGTCTGTTTTAACTGAGTGAGGTGAGCCCAACTTATTGCAAGGATCACTTAAAGTCCTACACACCTCTGAGTAGCCTCCGTTCATGGACAATGCTGGGCATTGGTTATCCGTCAAACCCCACGAAAACATTTGTATAGTCAAGGAACAGAAGCCTTACGATACAGTATCTAGTGGTAGAGCGCTGGAGCATACAAGAGAGGTCAGACATCGGCACTATTCCGTACCTCGTACCCACTCCTCACTGCCTTGCAAACGCCACCAATCACACTTGGGCTAGCGATATTACGAGGTCGACTGCATTTACGCAGATTTGTACGGATGGCTTGTGGATTGGAAATTGGACCCTTGATACGGATCGGCAACCAACCGGGGCGTACTAGCGAATTGCTGGGTCTGACCGGCGTAATTAGCTCTGGAAATCTGCAGCACAAATGTATACGCCGTCGAATCAGATTCCCTTTTAAACACTGGTTTACTTCTGACCCACTCACTTCAACTGGAAATCATGAGATGCTCACATTGAACTAGCAGTTGAGGAGAACGTCAATTGAAGCCATTAAGCAGTATATGTTGAGCAGTTCCGCCGATTGATGGTTCCGAAGTGTATTTTTGTCGATGTGACGATTAGTTCTCCGTCGACGCTAGGGTATGCCTTCTAGCTCTAGTGATCTGTCAGTAAGCATGCTTTTGCATGGAAAACAACCGCATGTCGAATCGAGCCAAGAAGGCCACCAAATTGATCAATTTAAGCGGTTTAAGGAATACTTCTTCAACTTTGCTGAGGCCAGGAGCGTCAGTACGGGCAGAGCACTCCAGTCCCGTAGGTAACACCGAGAAAAACTGATGTGCAAGGTTTTCAAGGACGACGATGATATGCTATGATTCTAAGTGAACGTTTCCGGAAGTAGCTACGAGACTACTCAGAAACCTGTTCGGTTTGCCTCCGGCGCGACATCACTTTGCCCTATGCATTTGAGCCTACAATGTACCCATCTGTTCAACCCACCTGTACAGTTGTGAAGCATGGCCGATCAAATCGAGAAACACAACGAAGTTTGTTAAGTGCGATTGCTTTTGTAGCTTAGCTGATATCTAGTGGGAACACTGCGTGAGTAATGGAAGGGAAGGGAATCGCTCAGCACCATTATCACACGCACCAATCTCCGACGACTGGGTCATGTGTTGCGCATGCCAGCACACCGACCCGCGACGTACGTAGTTTCCGCGACCAGGGTGTAGATGAAAAAAGAGGAGGAGGAGGAACCAACCGATGACGTGGTCAAGCGGAATGAAATCCCTCACTTTGATTTAGGCCTGCGTTAGAGGTTCTCGGCTCCATGGTTGGGATCCGTAAGACGCTATTTGGTTAGAGGCATTTGTTGATATGGCGAAGAACCGATTTTCTTCGCTTCTTTTTGTTGTCCTTATCTCGCTCCATGCTGTTTAGCTTCCCCATGCTCTTCATTGCATGATATAAAACCTAATTTTTACTGTTTCTATTGTATTCCTCCACCTAATGAACTTGTATTTGGCACAATAGTTGGAGTGTTCCTCACACCTAGCTGATGTGTAGTTTGAATGGTGAATGATATACCGAATTATATCCACGTCGGTTAACATTGGTGATTACAATCGCGATTATAGAGCTTTCTTTTACTACCGGATTTAATGGAACGATATCTGTCCGTTTGTATATCAGAAGTAGATGTTGTTTGAGCTCCCTGGTGTGGCTGCGCCTGATGTGAATGTTGACAAGCTGCCTACCTGTCTAATACCCTCCACCTCGATTGCTGGCTCCAGGAGACAGTTGGTCGTTGCTGGAGGGGACGGGGTGCACCGTCTTCGTGACAGTGCTAGGCTCAAAGAGTTGTTCCATGCAGCCTGTTTGGAACGGGCTACGGCTTTGCCACCGCCTTTTGTACGTCTGGTGTGCATGATTTCCAAGTTAGGCCGAAATGCTTCTCTTCTGCTTGTTGAAGGAGTATGGGCCAGCTCCACTGATGAATCGTGGCTCTCATCTACATGCCTCCTGGTCTTATTCCTTCTGATTTACACTGAATGTGGGGTGTGGAACTATGGGTGGTGCAACGCAAGCCACCCATGGTGCCTCTGTAGACGCAGGCGTCCTGTGGCTGTCCCTGGCTCGTCCCATTGAATCCACCCAGTGAGGCGGAAGTCTGCCTCGAGATTCGATGCTGGAAGCGCTTCAAGGCTGCTGGCTCAGACGGACTTTCTCCGGAGCTGTTCAAGTACGGCGGTATGGCGATCGTTAACCAGCTGACTTCACTGTTCGCAAAAATTTGGCATGAAGAGAAAGTGCCTTCCTCTTGGAGCGAATCGGATATTGTCCCGATTTTCAAGAAAGCCTCTCGCACTTCATGTGTAAATCGTCGCGGGATTAGTCTTATTTCGGTTGCCTTCAAGCTATTGGCATCCATTCTGCTCCGTAAACTATCACCAATATGTGAATCACACTACGATGATGAACAAGCTGGTTTCCGTCCCTCCCGCGGATACGTGAATCAAATCTTCACGCTCCTCCAGCTCCTCGACACACCGCCACATGTATCACGGGCCCACTATCGTTGCATTCCTAGACATACGTGCCGCTTTTGACTCCGTTGATCGACCTGCTTTATGGCGTTGCTTGCTAAAGAACGGGGTGCCAGAGAAATATACCGCCATCTTACGGGCACTTTACCTTCATACATGCGGCAGAGTGAGGGTCCATGGCAAGCTCTTCTCGCGTTTCGCTGTCAATAGCGGTGTGCGACAGGGCTGCCCTGTGTCTCCATTCCTCTTCAACTTCGCAATCGAAGACGTACTGTCGAATACTCTAGAAGGTTTCCAACATTTTGACCTATAGCTTCTACCGGGTGAGCGCGCGATCGACTTAGATTATGCTGATGATATCACATTACTTGGTGACGATCCTCAGGGTATGCAACTCATTCTAGATCGTTTGGCGATTGTAGCATCTAAGTATAGCATGAGCTTCGCTCCATGGAAGTGTAAAGTACTGCTCAAGGATGGGCTTTCACCTGCTCCCGTAATCACTCTCGAAGGTGCACAACTTGAACAGGTAGATAGTTTCGTCTACCTTGGGAACTGTGTTTCTGCTGACGGCACTATCAGCAAAAACGTTTCTCTTCACATCACTAAAGCTCGATCGGCATTTGTCAATCTGAGACACTTGTGGCGTCGTTGCGACGTCTCATTCTCGCTAAAGGGCCACGTTTACAGCGCATCTGTTCGCTCAGTGTTGTTGTATGGGAGCGAGTCCTGGCCGACTCGCGTGGAACACATGCGTCGTCTTTCTGCCTTCGATAACGGTTGCTTAAGGACGATTGCTCGTGTTTGGTGGCAGCCTCAAGCTAATAGTAATGACGTTGGGCGTCTTGGGAAATGCGAGTATTCCTTTCAACAAACTGGTTTTGTTGCGCCAGTTAAGATGGCTCGGTCACGTCCCACGCATGGCACCTGAGCGTCTATCGCGTCGCGCTCTATCCGCTCTTCAAGGGCCTGGCTGGAGGCGACCGCGTGGTGATCAGCCTTCTACATGGCGACAGCACATGAAATCGCTGACGTCTCTAGCCGCTGTTGGATCCGTACGTCTTCCAGGATGGGGACCCAAAGATGAGGAGTGCCAATGGCTTCAGACTCTTGAAGACATGGCCCGCAATCGGAATCAGTGGAAGAATTGTGTGCAGTGTCGTATTGATTCACATGTTTAATATTTCAAACATTGAAGATGACAAAAGATAGAAAAATCGACGTGTGACAAACAAACTAAAAATGTTTTGTTCTGTATTTTTGTCAAAATATTCCATTTTCTTGTGGCATATTAGCTGAAGTGTGTTGCCCACCTTCAACTAGCATGCCACGATGATTATGACGCGATGTCTGTCCCTTATCCGCTGATCTCCATAGTTTTTTGCTGGCTCTGTGTCTAGTTGCTGGCCTGTTGAGGTTACATACACACATGGAGGCCACAATGCCATGCAAATTCGGATACGGATGCCGCCAATCCATATTCCACATTAGCATTCTTACCTGTGCTTTGTGATGAGGATACCACTGTGTATGATACACAAGACGATTATCTTGATTTCCATGGGATACGCTACAAATGCAACTGTAGTCGTGGTCTAAACACCAATCAGCCATATTCTTGCTTTCTTCTTGTACTCGGAATACCGCAAACGATATATATTCTGATTCCACACCTTAAAATCCGGTTATTTCACCTGTTTAGCAACTTTCTGCAAATGTTTCTTTTCGTATTCATTTTACTTGAAGGAATCTGACTAATACTGTTGTACATCATCCTAGTTGTTTCATCTCTTAGTCGGAATGGACGAACTTTCTACACATACATCGTAGCCAATCGATTTCGTAACGTTGCGGACTAACGAGACCTATCCGTTAGGTGTACACGCGAGTTGTGACTGGCAATGAAAACGCATAGCCTGGCACGATTGCCTCAGACCCAATGAGAAAGAAGGGCTGATCGTTTGCATGAGTTATTCAATTGACTCAGCCAGGGCAAGGCATGCTTTCTACACTTTCATTTTTGCCGCTCAAGAGAATAACATATAAACTATAGAGAATGGTGGATGTTGACAAGGCACATGAGTTGACACCCAGCTATGTTGTCCTGTGGAAATCCCAGTTAGCTTCAGTAGAAGTTTATGCGGTAACTGTCACAGCAACTGAGGTGCTCAAGTGGTTTAATGCATTGTGATTCGATAGACACAGTAATGTCATACTGAGAGTCCAGTAGATTTACTGCGGCGTACACAGTGGATGCATCGGTGTCCTAAGTAGTCGGTTCTCTTTGACCTGGCAACTATGTTCTGGCGATGGCTCGCTTGTTGCTGACGCAGTCTGAATCGCCACATAGTAATTGTATGTCTGGGTGAGCCCGGCGAAATCTGCGCAAATTTCGCGGAGCTATGCTAGCTCCCCAATAAATATCCTCAATCTTATTGCTCACCATTTCAGACACCGATACAATGGCCTTCCCACTACCAATTTCGATGGACTGGGTCACTGTGGACTTACCCCAAGCACCATATGGTACGCTCGTCAGAAACTGGAGAAACTTGGTCTACTCACTTCACAGGTTTGTTTTTATTCCAACTGTGTCCTCATTTCATCTGTTTCAGCCGTACATGTCCAAGTACAAGACTCATACAATGTCCACTGGCGTGTTGCTCCATCATTGGCGCTTTCATCGACACTTTCCTTTTCCAAATGCCGTCATGCTACAAAAGCTCGTTGATCTGCTGCACGAAAGTCCGACAAAATCACATACCCTCAACTATTTACGACACGTGAGTTCCTATACCTTTTCATGTCATCTTGTTGATCTAGTATCACTAGAGTTACACGTTGTATCTGATTGTTACCCACCACTCTATCTCCGATAGTTCACCTGCCATGTGCCAGGGACTCTCTTCTCCCGAATCCCTAAGCCGATTGAAAGTCTTCGAAAAGCTTATTTTCTAATTTTGGAGCAGGCACCGTGTGTCTTGGATTGCGACACGCAGGCTCGATTCTGACCTCGCTTGACTTGGAACTCACTCTCTGCCAGTGTGATCACTGGAATCATCACCGTAGTGTAGGGTATCTCTGTTACTGTCCGCTATCCCTGCGCTCCACGACGCATTTCGTCCTGATTTAGATTCACCAGGCAGAGATAGTCTGAACTGGGAGTGGAACTCGGCACGTAGTGCTTGCTAGCCATCGCCATGATCTCTAGGCCATTGAATTTCCCGTATAGCACTTGACATGGTGGTAAGCAGTAGATTTTCGGATTTGGGAGCATTCGCCGTGTGTTTTGGACTGCGACACGCAACCTCACTTGTGGCTACACATACGACGAGTGCTCCCGAACCTGAAAATTTACTTACAACAGCGGTCAAGTGTCGCTCGGGGAGCTCATTGGCGATCATGGCGATAGCCGCCAAACATTCCGTGACGATTTCCACTCCCAGTTCGGCTATCTCAACCTGTTGAATCTAAACTAGGACGAAGCACGCCGTTGAGTGCAGGGGTGGGAGCCAGCGACACTGAAACACTCCTCTTAGAAAAGCTGTTTGGTGATTACTTTACTCCAAGTTGATTGCGCAAACGGTGTCCTGCATCTACTTTCTCTTTCAACTTTGTGATCGATACGGTCATAAATGACTTTGTACGCTCGTACTCTTCTGAAGTGGGAATTTTAACAGGTGGCCAAATAATATCAAAAAACTTGCCTTCAAGCCAGGGAGCTCTGCACTGGTTGCCGCCGCATATCTTGTGCATTTCGTTGTACCTGCTCTGGATAAAATTTGCAAAACCATGCAACTGCTGTTCCTTAAGTATACCAATTTTTTCAGGATCCCGGATAGATCGTTACCACCAAACTTTCACTCGGAAGCAGCGTTCTTTCCCATACCGTCTCAACGAGGCTGGATCTTAACGTGGTGCGACGGTTTACGTACCTCTTTGACTTATTGAGCTATACTGGGTGGCATCCCAGGATCCCTTGAGTGCTACTCCTACCAGGTTGCTCAATGGTTAGAGATCAGACAAACGCAGTCTCCTGGTCCTCCAGGTTGGGGGGTTTGAAATGGGATGTCATCCATTTCTTTAAAACTAAATTATTACTACCTCTTCGCTGCCTTGCGGACAGGTTTTTGAGCCAAACGCCTTGGTTGAGGACCCTAATCGTCCTCCTGCCTTGGTCTGGGCGCCCTGACAGTATCTCAGCCCATATACAGCCATGACAATTTCCTCAAAATCCAACTACATCTTGCATCGGTCGTCGCGTAGCCTTATCTGCTGCATACAGCAGGGCGGATAAGCGAAAACATGCTACTGCTGGTGGCTCCCTTCTCACCTTTCCTCTTGTTTCTCCTGCTCCCCTCTCAGTTCCCATTACTAACCTTCTTTCTATAATTCTCAGCTTAATTGACAGCAACCGTAATGCTACTGGAGTCGAGCCATCTGCAGCTACCTACCCGCACCACCCACTGGACGCCTATCAGCAACAGTCCCTTATAAGGGCACGCTGTCCCCTTACCCTGGCAGCGTTCAACATTCGCACTCTAAGACAATTAGGTCAACTGGCTGCACTCGTACCCACGTTAGACACACTGCGTGTTGACGTGTGTTACGTATCCGAAACTAAGACCAATGACCCTAATGAGGTTGTTTGATTAACTGCGCCCGGTTTGTCCTCTCGCTGTTGGTTGCACGCATCCGGAGACACTGCCGCGGCAGCTTCTGATCAAGCTGGGGTAAGTATGGTACTCAGTTCGAAGGCTGAGTCATCTTTCGTTGACTGGATTCCGGTAAACAGCTGTTCATATGCAACTCGCTTGATGTTATCGACCAAGGTTGATACACGAAATAGTATAAGACGCTGTTTGTTTGTGGTTTCCGCCTATGCTCCCACCGACTGCAGTTCCGATGCTACCAAGAGCACTTTCTAACTAAAGCGCACTGCCACAGAGCGCTACTAATTCAGATATCCTAGTATTTGCAGGAGATATGAATGCACAAGTATGCTGCCTGGGCTCTTCAGAAGCCCAGGTAGGTGGTAATTATGGGCTTAACTCCGAACGGACTGACAACGGCGAGTCTCTTGCAGCTATTTGCGGAGCACCAGCTACTACTTTGTAGCACTGCTTACTAACACTGAAGGTAGCCAGCGATGGATCAAAATAGATCACATTGTCATAAGTTACAGGTGGCGTGGTTCCATCCTGGATTGCCGCTCGTTCTGGAGTACTTGCGTCAACTCTGATCATGCCTTTGTACGCTGTCGTTTTGCCATGACCTTTATCGGTAGGAGTACCGAGCGCCTCCCTCGATTGACAACTGAGATGTTATCTGAGCCCTCAGTCAGGCAAGCCTACCAAGGTGCACTGCGTACCGAACTTTCGCTGGCTTTCCCTAATGACACTGCGCTGTTAAATAGGCTCTCCGCCGCCATTCAACACACAGGAGTCTTTACTTGCAGCATTATCAATCGTCGCCGCATCAGTCTCTGGATATCCGAGAGGTGGGTGAACCTGCTGGAATCCAGGAGAGAATTCCCGGCTGGCTCTGAACACAAGGTGACCAACCGGACTATTAGGCGCGAACTAAAGCGGAGCTTGCCTGCTGACAAGGAAGCATGGTGGACCAGTCGGTTTCAAGAAATGTAGGAGACGGGAACAGTAGACAATTATCGCAAGCTATTCCAGCTGATTCGCAGCACTGCTCCCAGGAAACCAGTTGTCATTGAGATAATCAGAGACAGCGCGGGTGCTCTGATTCACAGTAAGGATCGCCGTATGGCTCGTTGGGCGGAGTACTTCCGAGAGCACTTCATTTGACCCCCTCCTTCTGGACCTCTTTCTACTCAGGTGTTGCAGGCTGAATCATGGCCAGTTAGTTTAGAAACTCTGTCGGAGGCTGAGATCCGAAAAGCGGCCACATCCCTCAATGCTTTTCGTGCTGTTGGCCCGGATTCACTCACACCCGCACTGTTTAAGAATTAAGGTCAGGTCCTCTGGGAAACATTGATCTCCCTGTTCGAACACGTCTGGAAGACGGACCATGCCAGCTAACTGGAGTGAATCAATTATAGGGGCTATATACAAGAAGGTCAATCGCACTGGCTGCCAATCACAGGGGTATTAGCCTAACGCCAGTTGTGACAAAATTACTGGCCTCGATTCTCGTTCGTCTCCTCACTATGGTACAGTAATCCCGGATTGGGGAAGAGCAGGAAGGTTTCCGCCCAGGACGCGGCTGTATAGACCACATATTCATTCTACTGCAGGTGCTAGAACAGCTTCACGCGTACCGCAGACCGACAATAGCTGTATTTCTCGACTTCAAGAGTACGTTCGATGCAGTCGATCGATGCTTTCTGTTCGAAATACTTGCGCGGAAAGATGTTCCCACGAAATATGTGAACATCTTACATGTTCTATACTCGAACACTACAGGCTGTGTCAGGGTCCAAGGTGACCTGTCGGATAGCTTCCTCACGATGAGGCTGGCAGTCCAGCTGGGTGGAACAGTCCCAGTTAAAGCAGGAATCAGCCTGGACCCGATTAGCATGCGATGTGAGGACCCAAGTCGTCACGAAAGTCGCCTGTTAATGCATGGAAAAACATTTCCAATTTACGTAGCCTCTCAGGGTACGTCAAACCTCTTTAACCCATGCATTACTTTTGTCCCACACCGCAAGACTCGTTCGATTTCCATCTAGTCACGAACGAGGAATAGAGGACAAGCCAGTAGACAGTATTCCCAAGTGCGGACTTATAAAAGCCGAAAATAGTCTAACGAAAATTGGAATCGTCAAGATCCCCGAAAAGCCTCCGGAACATCCACAAACATGCCGGAATCGGTTGCGGAGTGGATGTCGCTCAATGTCCGCTGAACATAAAGTCATGGTGACAGCAAGACTCCCAGGTCAGCTGGGAGTTACACTCGGGGCACTTCGTTCCACCAAATAACCCGTCGGTGGATCCTTTGGTATTGCGCGTAGGAGCTGAACATTTCGCGAAATTCAAAGGGCAACTGCCACTAAAAGGGACCTAGTCCCAGTCTATCCAGAGCCCTTAGGAGGGTCCGTGGACCAGTTGGAACGTTTACTGTGAACCAGAACTTTAAGTCATCCGCAAACATTACGGATGGCACTATTCATCAGTTAAGCCATGATTGTTTAAACTAAAGAGAAGGGAAGTCGAGAACTGAAAGTTGCGGGACCCCACTGAGGGCGCATTGACGAAAAGACAAGCCGGAATCCACACGAACACCCATCTCTCTTCAGATTAGGGAAGCTGAAATCCACCGCAAGACAAGTCCAGAAATTCTGTAGGACTGCAACTTGTATAAAAGACGCGAATGCGGAACGGAGTCAAAAGCTTCGGAAAAGTCAATGAACACCACGTCCACTACCTTCCCTCGCTCGACAGCTTCGGCCCAATGTTCTCGAGCCACCAACAAGTTGGTAAGGCAAGAATAACTTACGAAAGGCGTGTTGCGCAACCCAAAAGCTTTTAAATATCGTTCGAGAGCGTCTGTCGTTTGACCTGGACGCTCGTCAAACTGACCGGCCTATAGTTTTCTGAGTGTTTGTCACCTATTTCTTAAAAATGGGACACAATAGTCTCCTCCTAGTCGGTGGGTAGAGAGCACCTGTGTAAAGACTTCTCAAACGGATGTGTAATCGGAGGACAAAGTTCGTCAGTCAACTCGTACAACAGTTTGGGACGAATGGCATCCATCCCAGCAGCTTTATTGGGATTCAATACCAACAGAAGGCGGGGCACTTAGGCCTCTGTTATGGAAACCTCCACAAGAAAAGAACCCTCAGGAACTTTTGCCTGCAGACTGATATGCGGCATCTGAGACTCTCGAACCTACACACCTGCATACTGTT